CTATTATTATTATTATTACTATTATTATTATTATTATTATTATTATTATTATTATTATTATTATTATTATTATTATTATTATTATTATTATTATTATTATTATTATTATTATTATTATTATTATTATTATGATTATTATTATTATTATTATTATTATTATGATAATTATTATTTTTATGATTATTATCATGATTAACATTATAATTAGCATTACTATTATGAGGATTAACATTATAATTAGCATTACTATTATGAGGATTAACGTTGTAGGTAGTATTACTAGCATTGGCATTATGATTATTATCATTGTCATTAGCTGTCTATTTTTGAGTATTTTGATGTTTCTTCAGTTGTTTTTTGAGTATTATGATTATTATCATTGGCTGGACTCTAATGGGTTTTTTATCATACTAATGAAATATAAAACTTTGAAATATTAAATATTGCATTGACTTTTCAATTGATATTTTTGATGAAACTATTTAAATTGTGTTTTAAATTATTACATCCAATGAAAGTGGAAATATATTAAGATTATTATTATTATTTTTTAAATATCAAAATACAAAATAATTATATTAAGGGGTACGTATTACAAATGTAATTTTAAGGGGTAAATGTTACATAGAGTGTATACTTCGGGGGTCCAAAGCGTATTTAACCCTAAATTAAATTCACTTGGTGACTAACTTATACCAATACTCACCGTTCCAAACTTAAATTTCAAGAAAACCTACGGATTAATATTCCTATTGGACAAGAACTCTTCATGCATTAGAATTCCCATGGAAGTCAAAGTAGTTACGTACTGATTAATAATTAATATTCTCATTCATGCATGTATATAATAATATATAAAGAGTATTCTGATTTTACAAACTTAAAGTAGGGCAAAAAAACAACAGAAGAAGACGATGGGAAACTGTTTGTGTGTGAAGCCAGCAACGAAGGATGGTATGACAATTCTCTTTACAAAAAAAATCTATTTTTTAATTCTCGTGTATATACAGTTAAGTCTCTGTAAATCAATACAGTCGGAACTGACAAAATTCTAATTAATAATCATCGAACTAATAATTTAGTACGTTTTCACCGATTCGGGACTGGGAGAAGTTAATATTTAAGTGAGGTTATTAATTTATCCAGATTCTACTGTATGTATGTATGTATGTATGTATGTATGTATGTATGTATGTATGTATGTATGTATGTATGTGTATGTATGTATGTATGTATGTATGTACATTTTTGTGCTGAAATTATGTGCATCTACTGTTTTTAGAAGTGACCACCTTGAATACAAGAGAGGCACCACCTGCTCACTTCATGATCAAGATTGAATCTTTCTCCGTGTTAGAAAAGTATTGAATTAAGAAATACGAAACAAAAGAATTTGTCGCCGGCGATTACAAGTGGTATATTCTCTCTCCCTCTTAATAAGCCACTAAATAAGCCAAAATAATAATAATAATAATAAAGAAGTAATGGAGGCTGTTTGAATTTGTACAGGAGACTAATATTCAAATTTAATGGAAAAGATAGTCATTATATATCTCTAAACTTGGCTATGGCGGACACAACTTCTCTGCCTACAAACTGGGAAGTCAATGCTCTCTTCAGTGTCTTTCTCTTTAATCAGATTTCGGGCAATTATCTTTCTTCAACAGGTATTATATAATACTCACCTATTTTTTTTCTCTTTTTAATCATAAATTATTTGTTTACATTAATTTCTAAGCACTATTTTTATAATATTATTGGCAGAAAGAATGCTTTGTTTCCAAGCAACAAAGTTCGAATGGGGAATTTCAAAATTTATCTCTAGAAAGGTTTTGTCTGATCCATCAAATGGATACATAATCGATGACAACTGTGTGTTTGGTGCTGAAGTGTTTGTGGTCAAAAGAGAAGCAGTCATTGAACGTGTGTTATTGATGAATGTCAATACTTATTACAATCATGCTTTGGAGATTTCGGGTTTCTCCCAATTGCCCCAAAGATGGGTGTCTGAAGAATTTGATGCTGGAGGCCAAAAATGGTACAATTTTTTTGTTTGTCACAACTATTACCTTCTTTTTTTTGTTGTGTTTAAATATTTTAATATATGTAAACGTAGAAAAATCCTTCTTTACCCAAAAGGAAATGCAGAAGGAACTGGCAGCCATGTTAGCATCTATTTGTACTATCTTGGTACCGAAAGAGTGCAGACATGTTTTACCGTATGCATGAAAAACCAGTTTGATGATAAACAAACTAGATGACATTGTAAGTACTTACAATATTTCATTTAAAATGTTTGATGTTTCAAAACGGAAAGCGAAACCAAAAACTAATTCTTTTTCCTTGGTTTTTTTTTTTTCTTTTTTTTTTTTTCCGCAGTTTTTAGTTACTGGTTTTCAGCTTCCAGCAGTAGTTGGGGAAGGCCAGTATACATTGATCTTGCAACTATTAATGATCCTAACAAAGGATTCATTGTCAAAGATTGTTGTCTTCTAAATATAGAAATCAACGTCAAAGCTGTTGCGCGAGTATCTTAATTAGTTACCTATTAAAAAGTTGGATTAGACGATTTTGTTGTGTTTATCAAACACAACTTTATATTTTCATGATATATATATTTATTGCGTGATTACGATAGTACAATATTTGCATCAAACTTATAAATGATTGAATGCACATCAAAAACAGAGGCTTCGCCTACACATTCTTTTTTATGAAATCGGAATCATTTTATGAATAATAGTGAACTGCATGAACCAGCACCTACTCACTCTTTTCACCTTCATGATTTTCACTATTTTACTCATTATTTTCCTTAGAGAATAAGGTTACTATTTTCTTCGATCTCGTATATAATTTTTTCCAAGTATAAATAACTTATTTAGCTCAAATTTTGGAAGACTTCTTTATAAAATACGTTCGTAATTTATCTGGACACATTTGCACTATAAAGTGGCTGTCAGAAGCCCCCACGTAAGGTACCTTCCTTTTAGAGAGATCGCTAGTACCCGATAGAGCCCGCTAGCGATAATAGTGACAACATCTCAATCCTCCGTAATTTACAAAGGATTGGGAGGAAGAAAACCAAAAAAAAGAGGAAAACCAAAACAAGACCTTGTCTCATACCTCACTCCCCTTCTGGCAAACCGTCTCGACGGCCGCGGGCCCGTGATGGTGGCGGCGATTTGCTTCTGGGGAGGCGGTGGTGACCATTTGGGGGAAAGCGGAGGTAGGCGACCAAAACACGAATCAGCAGAAATTGTATATATCAAAAATTCTGGAGACCAGGAAGTAGGTTTGACCTCCAGCCAACGAATGTAGGCCGGAAGATTTAGCTCAGATCAACTGGCAAAAGTTTGTAAATATAGGGGTTATGCTATTTACCCTAATACTAAATCTAATGTTATGGCCTACGGGGGCACTTTGAATAATATATGTTCATAACCGTTATAACCAAACATTAGATTACGACCTATTATTTTAGGGCAAGTCGCAAATCAACCCATGGGATGTTACTTATTTGGTAATCCATCCATTCCAAAATCACTTGTACCAAAAAGGACATCAACCCTACCAAATACTAAAATGCTCCTTAATATCTAATTTACTCCAATTTCATTCCAAAAATCATAATTTAACCAATTGCACCTTGACCCCAATTCTAAATCATTATGCATATTAACCCCCAATAGCTCTTATTTAAGTTGTGGTGGAAAGTTGACATAAAAATCTACAACCTTTGATTTTTTTCTAATTTTTAGATTCATTTCGGATTATTGTCTATAAGTATTTTAAACAAGACGAGTGTATTTTTATCATACATGATCTAGAGAAAAAATTTTGTTTTTTTTTTTTTTTTTTTTTTGTGTGTGGATCTATTTGCATAAATATTAGTTCTTAGGGCGTGTACAAAATTTCCCCTATTTCGAAGGTGTTAGTTCAAAGAAAAAAAAGGTTAAGGCTTAATCCCACTTCACACCCTTGAAATATACTATTTTGGCACTTTGCACCCTCGAAACAAATTAATAGCACTTTGTACCCTCGAGACACAATAAATCATGCATAATGCATCCCAAATGAATTTTTAAACCTAATAAAGGTAATAAAATGTTTTTAGTGGTATTTTTAGGATGACAAATGTCAAATGCATTTTGTTTATTCATCAATCATTATGAAACTATAAAGTGCCAAAATGAAAATACATCTCATCAACATATCTAATAATTACATTTTTTTTATCCCAAAAAAAAAATCCTTAAGCTATTTTGTTATCAAGTTATCTGAAAATCATATTTTCTTCCACATATTTTTACCTAATATTTTCACCAGTTACAATTAAAGATCCATTAATCGAATAATTTAGAGATAAACGTTTATTTTATTTTATTTTGGAAGAAAATATAGTTTTTTTTTCAATAATCATGTGTAATTTTAATATTGTCGCACTTTGTGCGCTCGAAATTATGTGGAAGGTTGAAGAAAATAACAATTTAATTTGTTATTTTGCATCCCAGAAAAAAAAACCTAATAAAAACTTTATTATTCAATTGCGGGTGCAGTGTGAATGATTTATTGTGTTTTGAGGGTCCAAAGTGCTATTATTGTTTTTCAAGGGTGCAAATTGCCAAAATGCTCCAATTCAAGGGTGCAAAGTGGGATTAAGCCAAAGTTTAATTATTTTCTTAAAATAATATACAAAATCTTACGCAAAAAATTAGTGGTGCATTAGTTTCAAGAAAACTTGTGAATTGCAATTACTGATTAATTGTCCTAGTTGGAGTGTTGAACAAGAACTCTGCAGACGTAAGCATTGGAAAAACCCTAATTCTTCCAAACACAGGGCACAATAACATGGCAGTGAATCCAACAATAGATGGTACGGAAATTCTCACAAAACCTATATATATATATATATATATATATATATATATATATATTGCTGAATTTATACGAATCTATGTCTGCTTTCAGAAATCACCGCTATGGAAACAAGAGAAGCACCACCTGCTCATTTACTGGTTAAGATTGAATCTTTCTCCTTGCTTGGCACGTGTGGTATTGACGAATACGAAACCAGGGAATTTGTGGCTGAAGACTATAAGTGGTAGGCATATTCCTTGGATTCTCTGTCGGGAAAATTACAGTTTTCATCCCTCTAGTTTTCACCGATTTCACATTTAGTCTAAAAAACACATTTGGTGACATTTGGTCCTCACGTCCAATAATTTAACACTTATAGTCATTTCCGTCAATTTACTGTTATTTCGTTGTGATGAGCACAGGCTTGATTCCTTAGTTTTAATGGGAAATTGATAGTAATGACTAAAAGTGTTGAATTATCGAAGCATAAGCAACCAAATGTGTTTTTTGTGAACATGGGGACAAAATGTAAAATCGATAAATTTTCCCATTCTCTCTCTCTATATATATATACATAATTATAATAAGGATACTCGTACTTTGAAAGAATTATATAATTATTCTTTGTAGTAATAGAGGATGTTTGAATTGGTACAGGAGACTAATAATCTATTTTAATGGAAAAAATTGTGAGTATGTTTCTGTGAGCTTGGCTATGGCGGACACGAGTTCTCTTCCTGCAAACTGGGAGGTCAATGTTGTCTTCAACATCTTTCTCTATAATCAGATTTCCGGCAATTATCTTTCTTCACCGGGTATTATTCTCTTTCTATCATTTTCATCCTACATCTTAAATTGCTAAAGAGTATTTTTTATGATACCAAAAAAATTCACTGACAGGAAGAACAAGATGTTTCTTAGAAACAAAGTCTGAATGGGGTATTTCAAAATTTATCTCTAAGAAAATTCCTTCAGATCCAACAAATGGTTATCTAGTCAACGAAAACATTGTGTTTGTTGCTGAGGTTTTTGTAGTAAAAAAAGACGCCGTCATTGAATGTGTGTCTTTGAATAATATCAATATTCATTACAAGCATGATTTCAAGATTTCGGACTTCTCCAAATTGAACGAATGATGCTTTTCTGAACAATTCATAGCCGGAGGTCAAAAGTGGTACAACTTTTTAGTATTATTGCCACTATCTTTCTGGAAGTGTTATTTCATAACTACTCTACTCTTTTTTCTCCTTACTTTTTTTCATTTAATTTAATTTTATTATTATTATTATTATTATTATTATTTTTTATGTAAACTTAGGAAGATTATTCTTGATCCGAAAGGAAGTGGAACGGGAACCGACAACCATGTTAGCATATTTCTGAACCATCTTGGTTTAGAAAGAGTGCAGGCATGTTTTACCGTATGCGTGAAAAGCCAGTTTTATGATATACAAACAAGGCGATATTGTAAGTTACGTTGCAACGTTTCAAACTCGTTGTTAAAAAGGCCGAAAAATTAAACTTTTTTTTTTTCTTTTTTTTGCAGCTACTAGTTATTGGTTTTCAACTTCCATCAATAGTTGGGGATGGCCTGCATGCATTGAGCTTGCAACTATTAATGATCCTAACAAAGGATTCATAGTCAAGGATTGTTGTCTTCTAAGCATAGATATCCATGTCCAAGCTGTTGCAAACATAATTAATTAAAAAAAATGTTTTAAACAATTTTGTTTACGCTACGGTTTTTGTCTATTTATATCGAATACTTATGTTACCAAGTATTTTTCAGTATTGACTTTCATATTTTTCGTTATTTTGAAATTTCAATGCATTAAAATATTTACATTCTATATGTATTATAGTATTCAACAATCTTGTGTTTACATTCATTGTTGAACTCTATTATGTTCCAATTAGTGTCTGGCTAGTTAGGAAATTTTATAGGGGGTCTTTCCTAATGTTCTTAACATGGAATTTTTTTTGGAAATTCGACATTACACGGGTGTGGTGAGTGCCGAAAACCGGTGTATTTTGTCCACCTTGGAATAACAGGGACTAAAAGTGAAATTGGGCAAAACATTAGGGACCAAAATTGCAATTCTGTATCGTTGGCCCTTATTCAGACGTATTTGGGTCCACGTTCGCTACAGTGGGACTGAGTGGACCATATGTCTCTGA